AGGGTTTGGTTTTTTCGTTGTCTGATATTTCCTCGGCTTTCTCTATTTCACAGATCGGAAGATTCCGTTTTCAGATCTCCGTTTACAGGTTTTTTCGTTTTTCTCGTTGTGACGTATGCTGTGTTTTCAGATCTGTGTGGTTGTTTGTATATCTGATTGTTGTGTAGTGAATTATTGGAGATGGCGGAACTTCTCAAAGAAGATTCGATCATGATTCGTGAGGTTTGGAATGATAATCTACTTGAAGAATTCGCATTGATCCGTGAGATTGTTGACAAATTCAGCTATATCGCTATGGATACTGAGTTTCCAGGTGTTGTGTTGAAACCAGTCGCTACTTTCAAGTACAATAACGATTTGAACTATCGTACTCTTAAGGAGAATGTTGATTTGTTGAAATTGATTCAAGTTGGGTTAACATTTTCCGATGAGAACGGGAATCTACCGACTTGTGGTACCGATAAGTTCTGTATCTGGCAATTCAATTTCCGTGAGTTTAACATCGGTGAGGATATCTACGCGAGCGAGTCTATCGAGCTTTTGCGTCAGTGTGGGATTGATTTCAAGAAGAATATTGAGAAAGGTATCGATGTGGTTCGGTTTGGTGAGCTTCTCATGTCGTCTGGGATTGTTTTGAACGATGCGATATCTTGGGTTACGTTCCATGGAGGATACGATTTCGGGTATTTGGTTAAACTCTTGACTTGCAAGGAATTGCCTCTCAAGCAAGCTGATTTCTTCAAGCTACTAAGTGTGTATTTCCCTACGGTTTACGATATCAAGCATTTGATGACGTTCTGCAACGGACTGTTTGGCGGATTGAACAGACTCGCTGAGCTAATGGGAGTTGAGAGAGTTGGGATTTGTCATCAAGCCGGGTCAGATAGCTTGCTTACCTTAGGCTCGTTTAGGAAGCTTAAGGAACGTTATTTCCCGGGATCGACCGAGAAATACACTGGTGTCTTGTATGGTCTAGGTGTGGAAGATGGTACTACTACTACTACTGTTGCTAATTAAGATAGCCCCCAAAAAAAAAGCCTTTCAGGGACTGTCATTAGAATTTTTTTTCTTTAGTCTTTTGTGAGAGAGTGTGAGACCAATTAGACTTATGTTTGTGTAAATTGGCAAAATTGGTTTTTAGTAAGTGACTTGTGTCTTTGTTGCGTTTTTCATTAAGGTTAAAACCCCTTTTGATCAAAATGAGGGGGTTTTGTTTAGCTCGAGTTTCTGAATGTATATCAATTCAGCTACCAGTTTCATTAATAAATAATCATCTCCAATTATAATTTTTTTCGGTTTTTTCGCGTTCTTACTAATTGACATTTACTTAACAGTGTCTTCTTGTAGCGTTTGCTTGTTCCAGGGTACTGTGTAATTCTTTGTGACCATATGAGTTTTGAGTATGCGCAATCAGACGATCAAATGCAAATGATGCGATGGGGTTATGAATCTTGTGTGTTCTTGTTTCTCTTTGCTTCGAGTCTTTGACATTTGTGATAAGAATAATGGTTGGATTATATTTTATAGAGTAAGAAAGTATGGTTTTCGATTGATGAAAGTATTTTGCTTTTTTTTTGTAAGACTTGAATAATGGTTGAAATTTTGGTTTCTGTCGAAAGGAATTATGTCAAATGGATACAGTTAATCCATATGTCAAATGTGGATTTGGGTTAATATAAATGCTCACGAACATTTATGTTAATCTATCTTATGAAGAAGATATTTAATGTGCAATGAAGACGACCCTGAACAATAACACTTTCTAATCCTAGTTCTACAGTGTCGCTTGTTTGTATGTTGGGCTTCTAATTTGGGCCCATTTAACCGTCATTATTGGAGTGGGATGATTTAGATGCTTTAATTTTCAATTCTTACAAAAAAAAAAGAGCATCCCAACAAAATCTTATTCAAATTCTCTAAACATTGTTGATAAGATGAAATCGAAACTGACTCATAAATTTGTCAAGGTTGTAACAGTTCTTTCAATACTTGTCGTTGGTTTAGTCTCTAGTGTTTGTTGTCTCGTATAACTTGGTCAGTTTTAGTCTTTTTTTTTTTTAATTCCTTGTTCACCTTGAAGAAATTTATTTGTGCCTAAACATATGCCGAATAGAAAAGTTAAAGCTCAAAAATTAATTAACGAAAATAATTACAATTTGCTTGAGACCAATGTCAACGTCCCTAATCATATTTGATTAGCTAGTAATAATATATTCTCGTGAATCCAGTAGAAGATCAATAATACGTGATTATTATCAAATCAACTAAGTCGCAGAATCCCCAGTATTGTTTCAGAGTGGTCGCATGATACTCCACCTGAGAGGGGCAGTGGAAGAATCTCTAAGTGACTCTTGGACATGGAAATCCTTGTTACACCTTAGAATAATGGCAGAGAGGCGATTCATGGACTCCAAT